CGATGATTTCATCGCACGCACAACTCTGGGCTCTTGGGCTTCTTGGCTGCCGAGAAGGCTCGGCGCTGGGCCTCGGCTGGGCATCGCGCCGATACCACCACCGTAAAAGCAAAAAAAAAAAAAAAAAAAAAAAAAAAAAAAAGCTGCTTCTACAGACGGCGCTAAAGCTGCAACCGATACGTCGCTTTGCTGGGCCGACCGGTTAAGAATCAGGTTATGCTTTTTGGCTGCATCAGGTCTTCGGAGAACGGGCGGTCCGCCTGGGTTTTCGCAACCATCGCATGCTCTGGGCCCCTATCCAGGTGGGAAGTGGTGCAAAGACAACAACAGAAAAGAAAGAGGCAAGTCATCTACCGGCCTACGGAAGGGTGAAATCGGGTGGATTTGAAACAATTCCACCATCTTGTTCGGCTTCCCCACGTTCCGACAATATAGTTTCTGCCAATTTTCCGTCAGGATCCGTCGCATCTACAGTTCGCGGTTTCCCCGGAATATTCGTAGCTCCGCGACCGCCTCCACCGGAACTTGCAGCCAGCCTACCGAAGAGGCGCTGTGAGTTGGGGTTTCTATATTTCCCGTTTTTTGACGTTATCAAGGCAATTCGTAGGCCTAGAATGATCGCCGCTTGCATCTGTTGGGATTGTTTTTGTCCTCTCTGCCAGGGTGCAATCTAGATTCCAGCCACATTTTTTTTAGCCGCGTAGCGACCGTTGGGGCTCTATGACGTTGCTCGCATGAGGCTAGTGAGACCCTGTCCTACTCACCCAAAATGGCATTTACCTGTTTCGTAAAGATCTACTATTTTTTTAGATCTACCGCTTTTAGTACTTGCAAGCTGCACCTTTTCTTCAACACTCCAACTACTCTTCAGAGCCCTTCCCAGCCCTCTCCAGCCTACCCTCTCTCACTTGCTCAGCGAGAGAACTTACGCAATGAACCTTTGCTTCCAGACATACGTCAAGAGGCTCATGCGCCTCAAGTTCAGACGCCCACAAAACCTTCGTTGAATATCTGGCTCGAGGCACTTGACCGCCACGGAGACCCCGCCGGTGCCATAAATAGCTTTTTTTCTTTATGACGTAGAGCTCCACATGCTCGATTGCTGTTTAGATCAACCATCTCGCCTCAAGCAAGGTTTCTTATGTGGAGTTTCCCATTGCAGGGCTGATTACGCCAACGCGTGTACGAGGCGGATCCCTACGGCTTATTTGTCAAGACAGAAGCACTCCCTACACAGCCACAAGTCGAGGTCAATCCAAGGTGTTCGAGATATTGTTGTTGGAGATTGCTCAATGCATCAACACATGGTTCTTTCTTTTCTCCACAACCAAAGGGTTTGCCAAGTATTGCTTGGTTCTTGTCTAGGCCCGCGTAACTTAAATTAAAGTTTCAGCTTGCTCAAATCGTGGCTCGTCGACCGAAGCCGGCAAGCCGAATCAACCACACGTCATCGGCCTTCACTCTACAATTCAGTAATTTCCCCTCACACTACACTCTGTTCTATGCGTGATGTATTAACAGTATGGATATTGGACGGCCCGTTTAATCGAACAAACCGAAGCCCATGTCATCATCAGACTCCTCAGCAGCCTCTTCCTCCTTCTCCTCAGCGGCAGCCTCGGTAGCACCACCGGCAGCAGCGGCACCACCAGCAGCGGCACCACCAGCTGGAGCAGCAGCGGCCATGGAGAAGAGCAACTCCTTCAAGTCCTTACCCTCCAAAGCCTTGGAGAAGATGTCGGCCCAGACGTTGTCAACGGAGGCACCAGCGGCCTTGGTGACGGCCAACAAGTTGTCGGCGGAGATCTCAACACCAGCGTCGGCCAAGATAAGGGCGGCGTACGAAACGGAAGCTTCAGCAGACATTATATGTGTAAGTTAAAGGTGTAGCTAAATTTTTTCAACATCAACATAGTGGGGGTGGGTGCGACTTTTGGTCACGTGCGGGTGCTTCCGTCCTAGGGCCGTAGCCCTCCTGTTGTACGCGCGGCTGAATCAGTCAGCCTTGCATGAAGCCTGCGTCGGAGAGAAGACGTTTTAGGTGACGCATGGACCGCTTTGTAAGCAGATAAGTAAGCTGCAGCTAAGACATTGAATATGGCTAGACCCGTCTCCTGCAAAGCCAGCCGCAAGTATTTTGATGCTTATGACAGTGGAAATAGGGGATTAGGAGTCCACGGAAGATGAGTCACTGACTTCGGTATGACAATTGGGTTCTTGCAAGATGGGAAGAGAAGCGGGGATCTTTGGGATACGAAAAATCATCCTCAATAAGGGATGATGTCGCCAATGACTAATCAAGATGGTTTGTGGCGCTTGTGTGATTCCTATTCAGAGAGGAAGTAGGCGCCACTTCATTGCTGTGAGGTCTTCATCTCATCCATGCGAAACTCATTGTGACACCTTACTGATGCCAAAATCAACTCAGTTATTCAACTTCGAAATCTTTTCAAATCCTGAATGTTAACGCCTCTGCGATGTCCCACATCCTTATCTATGAAGATGTCAAACATGGCAGGTCGTGTATCGCACACCGCTATCTAGTTATCTGCTCGCAACAGTAGCGTTCACATATATAATGTTTAGGCTTTCTCCCACAGTATTCACCATAGGCAACAGGGGAGCCTTTACTCTGAACCTAGGAGTCGGTTACCGCCGTTCTTTTCACTCGAGGATCCCATCGCCATCTTCATGGTTCAAAAATAGACAATTCCACAACGCCTTCAGTCAGTTCAAGAGACTGTACTGGCAGAGACCTGGTCTTGCGGGTCGGTTCCAGAGAATCCATTGGGACTCTTTGACAAAACCTGCCATTTTCACTGGAGCTTTCCTCCTTGCTGCTCCTCCAATTCTAGACTTCACCATCAATAAGTCTACATGGCTCAAACGCAATCCTCAAGCCATAGTATACGCCATTATCGGTCTCAACACAGGCGTCTTCTTTGCATGGCAATTGCCCCGGTTCTCTCTCATCTTGAGAAAGTACGGTCTTCTTGTGAACGATCGATTTTCATCAGTGTGGTCTATAATAGGCTCGGGCTTTTCACACCAGAACTTCACCCACTTGTTTTTCAACATGTTCTGTCTTCAGTCATTTGGCTCCTCACTTGCTGTCGTTCTTGGACCAGCCGGCTTCTTGACAGCTTACCTTGGGTCCATTGTTGCATCTTCATTCACTTCGCTTGCATTCAGAACTATCGCTAGACAAGGTGTCAGTGGCTCCTTGGGTGCATCCGGTGGTATTTTTGGCCTCCTTGGTGTCTTCTCATATCTATTCCCAAACGCTAGCGTTGCCTTCTTTTTCCTTCCCATTCCAGGTGGAGCTTGGTATGCTTTCTTGGGCTCCATCGTCTTGAATGCTGCTGGATTCTTCACCAAAATTCATTTCGATTACGCAGCACATATTGGCGGCAGTTTAATCGGTATCTACTACGGTTGGAAAGCAAAGAAAGACATTGCAAAGAGAAGACGCCAACGCTCCATCTACTTTTAGTCACGGATTGATCGTTGATATTGTAAATAGTATACACGAAATTTTATGCAAATGAGACAGACTTCTTCTTTTTCTTTGCAGGAGCCTCAGTCTCGTCAACACCGTCTTCTTCGGACCGCTTTGCAGCTCTAGCACTCTTTCGCCTAGCTGCTCTTGCGACATTAGCCTTATTCTTGATTTCTGCCTTTTTATCATTTATTTTGTTGGCCTTCTCCTGTTCCTTTCTTTCAATCTCGGCTCTCTTCAATTCACGAAGCTCCTCCAATCTCTTTGCTTTCTCCAACTTAGACTCATTCACTTGATCATGCTTGTCATTAATGGACTTCACCAAACGGTTCAACATTAGACTGTCGTGATCATCCACGAACTTCTTTCCCTTCTTTCCCTTCTTGGCCTTGACTCCTGGAACGATAGCCCTATTGAGATTAGGGATATTCAATTCTTCTTCTCTGTATTCTTTTCCATTTCTGGCACCATAAAGCCTTATTTTGGCGTCACGCTTCTTAACAGCCTGTTTACTAGGCTTCTTGACTTTGGACTTCGGCGTTAACTTAGGCTGATTTGCTAGAAGGTTTTTAGCTTGCTTGTCAGAGTAAACCTCGCTTTCAGCAGTCCTCGAGAGATTTGCCTTATTTCTCCTTTTGATAGCCTCTTTCTGTTTAGCTCCCATTTGAAATACTGGTTGTGAATCTGACCTCGTCTTGCAAAATCGATGCGCCATCTCATCGAGCTGATAATATCACATGACTTGCCACGTGACTTGCAACATTATGTATAACGATAAATCTGACAATAAGGGGCCCATATATGCCGATCAGGTTTCAAATAAGATACCTCAGTCCACTTTGGATGATAGTGAAGCTTTATTTGTTGATCTGCAGCACCCTGTACCAGACCTGAACAATACATGCTTCACTTCGAATCGAATATAGGTCATCCTGTCTTTTTATAATCAATATGAATTCCCAATATGGGCCGCAAAGTTACTCATTTTCAATTTGTTGACCCTTTTGTTAAGGTGTGTAACCTCCGAAAGACCTGATTCCGCGCTAGCATGAAGCTAATTTGGCTGCAAAATGTCAACCATTCCGAACAATGTCAAGACGACCGGTCAAATATAAAAATCGAAAGATGAGTAGTGAGCCAATAAAGCTCAAAAATTGTGGGGCTTCGAAATCAGATTGAATAATCTACCCCCTCGCTCCGTTTCCGAAGCATAGGCTGACTCCTTCACTTCGGTGATTTCCGCGTTCATATCTACTTATCTCAATCCTCCCCACAAACCACCGCTAGATTCTCCCAAGCTATCCACCACAACATGGAGTGCAGTTTCAATTGGGACATGTTTCCATCGACAACGATGGAACTGGTCCGATTGCTGACACCACTAGGTTGCTTATTCCGAAAAACGAATACAGAGGTCCCCACCTACCATGCCTTTCCCACTAAATGCCTACTATGTGGGGCATTCGTCAGCAAGTATTCAGTCCTTGATCCCACCAACAAGATGATATGGTGTCCATTTTGCCAGAAGAAGTTCCCTTTGCCAGAAGATGCTCAGTGTGCAAGTTCCCAGACAAAAGATGTCCCAAAGGAAGAGTCAATAGACTATGTGCTCCCAAGCGACATCTCGCTGCCTATCGATACGAGGGGCCCTGCTTTTCTTTATATCGTTGACTTGTATCAGCATATCGAATGCCCTGAGGAATTCTCGGCATTGAAGGACCGTCTTCGAGAGTCGATCTCCCGTCTTCCGTCGCTCGCATCGGTGGGACTACTCACATTTTCGAAGGATGTCACACTTCACGGGGAAAAAGATGTCATCTTCACCATCAATGATTTTCCTCCTGGCTACGATTTTTCGAGTATACTAGGTGACAAACCTGCAATCGCCAAGATCCTTCTGAGAATTGCAGATTCATCAAACACTAACATCCTAAAGGGTCTGAAACTTCTCCAGTCAGGCTTTTTTAAGAATCCTACGGACATTTTGGAAGACATCGAGCAGCTCAAGCCTGAGCTAACCAGATCATTCAAACCAGAGCGTGCCTCCGGCCTAGCACTTTTCGTTGCATCGAGCTTTCTCAATTGCGCCAGTTCCACTCTGCTTTTGGGAAAGATAAAGCTCTTCTCATCTGGCCCATGTACCATAGGCCCAGGAAAAGTGGTGGACCCCTCGGAAAGCATAAGAACACACGATGACATTGCAAATCTCAAGGCGCCACACTTTGTTAAGGCTGCTAAATTTTACAGAGCGATATCATTTGTTGGATGTGGTTACACTTTTGATCAGGCGAACACTGCAGCTTTCACTTCTGGTGGCTCTCTTACAAACTATAGTGTCAAGCCGACAGCTTCAAAATTCACTTTTGATCTATATTTTGGCTCCCTTGATCAAGTTGGACTATACGAAATGTGTTCATTGTCTTCGGGTACAAGTGGAATAGTCATTTTTAGCGATTCGTTCACTAGACAATCATTTAAAAACAAGCTTGAGGCCGTCAGTGACACTATTTCATCGCAGGATTGCATTCTTACAGTACAAACCTCGCCAGGCCTCAAGGTATCGTACACCCTTTGTTATGGAACGCCTTACCAGTCATCGTTCCAATCTTCCCATCTCATGCAATTTCATCATGAGCGCATCTCCGATACAATCTCTGGGTTTGAATCCCTGATGAAAAAGCGGCACTTCACCAACAGATGGTATCTCGGAGATCTAAGGGACCATGTGGGATGTGTTCTCTTCGAAGTTGATCCATCTTACATCACAAGGACAAAAGCCAAAAATGTTTTCGTTCAGTTCCAGCTAGACTACTGGGACTCGAAGCTTGAGCGCAGAGTTATACGAACAACGACACTTCAGAAGCCCACGACGATGAGTATCTTTGCATCAGGCTCTGGGAAAGAAGACAAGATTCTACACAAGATCAACGAAAGTGCCAGACAGAAAGCTCTACTCGCAAACTTTAACCCAGAAACGTGGATCACGATCCTCACGAGGCTTTTGATTAGTAAGATCGATACCACCTTGGGATTTGAATCATTTGAGGAGGTCATCGAGCTTATGGATGTTACGCTCATGAAGCTCACGAAATTTTTTGGGGTCATGAAAGAAGAGGCGTCTGCCTCCAATAACCCTTTTGAAAAGCTCAAAGCGCTTTATTCTATCGATGAGAACTTTAAAAAACTACCAATTTTTGCATATTACTTGAGAAAAAATCCTCAACTAGTCTCCATTTTTAACAGTTCACCAGATGAGACGGCGTATTTCCATCATATTTTTATGGGCCTCTCCACGGAGGAGGCTTGCATCATGATTCAACCGAGACTCTACGAGGTTATTGAGGGCCAAAGAATAGAAAAGCCTTTGGAAACAACGTCGGTTCTCAAAGCAAAGGATGGTTCATGTTTCATCTTAGATTCGTTTCAAACAATCATTCTTTATTTGCATAGCGATAAAAACAGACTAAAGCTTCATAGCTCGGACAATGACGATATAGTCTACGAGCGGAAGAATGAGCAAGTGAATAAGTTTATTGACATCATCAATGATGAGATTTTGCAACAGCGTTCTTTTGTTCCTAGAATTACCTTAACTCAGAAAGGACATTCCCAAGCAAGATTTCTTATGTCTCGCCTCCTGCCACCTAACAACATCATAGAAGATGGGGCGAAAACTAAATCAAAATGGTGGCATTTTGAGAGAAGGTCCAAGTCAATCACAACTGAGGATATCAGTGTTGAGAAGTATTGCGAAGAGCTTCTCTCGCGTGCCCAAGCGCTCAGATTTGAGGATGATCCTTAAAAGTTCTTCTTGATAAACTCAACAACCGTTTTGGCGATATCTTCAGAAGCTCCCTCGTCGGACAATGGACCTCCGCCCTTGTGGTCAGCACCCTTGACGACCTTGCTGAATTCACTCCATACGGTCTCCGATGTGACCTTCTTCCAGTCTTCCAATAAGGCTTTACGATCAATATATGGCGGAATGAACTCGTCTTTCTCTCCGACAAGAACAAGCAAAGGCAGAGCAACCTTTGCGAAAGTGTTTTTGTAGTCATCCTCATTAAGATATGACGAGAAGTAGTCGTCGTCTGTTCTTCTCGCATTCAAGGAATAAAATCTGTAGGCAGAGACCGGGACACCGAAAGACAATTTCCTGGCCTCTTCAGGAAGCAACTCCTCGCCTTTTCCTGCGTCAATGAGCTCCTTGGCCTGCTTAAGGACCTCCTTTATATTTGAGTCCTTGTGGAAGTATTCAGAGGCCTCGGTATCTGACACAGGGGCCTGCAAAATTCCGCCGTCCAACTTGAAAATACTCTCAAAGTCATCTTGGTATGCGAATTTGGAGAGATATTCAATTGTGTCCTGGCATCCAGTAGAATGGCCCATGAGCACTATCTTGGACTGTGGAGTACCTCTATTGGATCTAAGGTACTTGACCAATTGAGCCAACTCACGTACGTCACGTCCCAAGCTGCCCGTTCCGCAGCCAATGTAAGACGATTTTATCAAAGTCTCGACAACGCCCCATTTTCCGCCCAATTCCTTGTTGAAAAGCTCCGCTATCTGGGGTATGTACTTGGTGCAAAGGAGACCATCACCCAAACCGCCGATAAAGACGAGGAAGTTCTCGGGTTTGCTTTCGGATTGATACTCAATTGCTGGCAAGTTTGGTTGGTATTGGAAAATATTAACAGGAAAAGACATGTTTATTGAAGAAAATTGAGGAATATCCTCTCCGTTTTAATAACCGATATGCGCACTGCGATAAAGCCACACAAGAGCTAGCCGCAATTATTGGACGAGATACTTTAAATAGCTATACAATCTTTCATTAACCGTCATTTACTCATAAATTGCGTCATCCTTCGTAGGCAATTCCCCCCACGCTACTGTCGGCGGAACCTCCTGTGCTTTGGTTGAGGCCAACTTCTGGTATCATTTTGGTACTGATAGACATAGAATGTATGGTCGTGAACATAACAAGGAAATGAAGGAAGACACAATAAGCCAAGAATAGCATTCTTGTCGTTCTGGTGGCCAAAATGGATCTCGTCACAGAAATGAAGATACGCTCAAAAGGCGAGAGCCTTGAGCTGATGCGCTCCTGTTCTCGCATCCTGAACCGCTCAATTGGGTGAAGCCTAGACTCGTATTCTGTCTGATATGCGTTTTGCTCAAGGTCTAGAGATGCGTTTGGTTTGGGAGTGAAAAAGCGGCGGTTTGAAGTTGCAGCGGCACCCTCGTTCTCCTTCTTGAGCAGAGCCATATATCTTGATTTCTCATAGAGATCCTCATTATCACTCTTCAAGGCTCTATTTTGCCTCTTCAACTCATTTAGCAAACTGGTTTGGCGCTTGAGATCGTCCTCTAATTCCTTATTTTTGTCCCTAAACCGATCTCTTTGCTTGGTGATGATTGGAAGAATTGAACTATCTTCTCCTGCCTGGTGAGCCATACCACCAGATGGTTGCCTTGTTGTGTTCTTGGTCATTCTCGATATTCCGGAAATCATGCTTGCCGTGTCGTTGAATTGAGGAGTTGATGAGTCCCTCATATCCGCCAAATCATTCTCCAACTTCGAATTGAGCATGCCAAGTCTCTCTGACTCCTCTCTGTTTTGTTCTAATTCACCTTGTAGCTCCTGGATTTGCGAGACAAGACCATCATGTTGGGATCTCAAATTCGCAAGTTCAGTGGTCAATGACTTATTCCTTTCGATCAATAGGGAATCGATCTGCTTTGGTTGTTCGTCATCGGCCTCCTCTAAGGAGTTCTCTCCAAACTCGATTTGACGCAATAAGTGAAGTTCGTGTTTGACTTCATCATAATCGCTGGTTTTCTCTAGCTTGGCCTTGAGATGCTTAATTTCCTCTGATGCATGTTGCACATCTCTCGTGAGCAGCTGGACCTTGGCGGAATTCTCGTCAGTGACAGTATTGATCCTCTTCTTGGCCTGGTTCAAATCTGCCATTAAAAGTGCATTCTCACTTTCCAAATCAGCGACTGTCTTTTGGAAATCCGCTTTAATTGCTGCACTAGCTGAATCATTCAACGCTACGGACAATTCTTGACGTAAGCCCTCGTTTCTTTTCTCCAAGTCGAAGACCCTCTTTTTCCACATTTCCGCGTCACGATTGGCCATGTCCAATTCTACTAGCGTGGAAGCTGTATCTTGGGATCCTCCATCTTCACCTCTGTCGAACAGTTTATTTTGTGAGTTCAATTGAAGTTGTGTGACTTCCATTGATGTCTTGAGCTCCTCGATGGTGAGCTTGTATGATGCAATCTGTTCTTGGTGCTGCTTCTCTTTGTTAGCCCAATTGGATTCCTTCTCCTGGATCAAGGATTGGAGTTCGTCTTCTTTGGCCTTGAGTTTGCTGCTTAGAAGTGCAGCCAGCTCTTGCTCGTTTCGTAAAAGACGCTGCTTCAACACCTCGTAGTCAGCTTTCTTGGCTAGTTCTTCATCACGCTGGGCTATTTGCTGTTTCATGTCGGCCAACTCATTCAGATTGACCACAGCGTCCTGGCAAAGCTCTAGAAGAGGTTTGGGATCAGGAGCCTCTGCAATCAATCTGTAGAAGCCGAAGAAGAATGCCTCCACTTTCTTTTGCTTCGTGTTCATATTGTCGATCTCATTCTGATACATCTTTAGAAGATGTTTGATCTCATTGAGCTTCTCTGCATCCTCAAGCTTTTTGAAGTCCTTCGTCTTAGACGCAAGGTTCTTTCTGCTTGTTAGCGAGGCCTTCTGCTCTGATTTGAGTTCAATGCCTTGCTCGTCAAGCTTATTCTGCAAAGAAGGTAAATCTATCTCCTTCCATGTTTGGAGAGCACTTTGAAAGGCATTATGCTGTAGTTGAGTTGGCTCTGACATTATATGCTCTAAGGATCACCGGTTAGTACAACTGTTCGCGCTGGAGTATCAATATTTGGACCGACTGCACTTGGAACACCCTGATAGCTTGCCTTGAAATAGTAACAATGGAACTATTTTAAAAAACTCAAAACCGCATTATTGCTCTTTTCTTTTTGTACCCAGCCATATTACTCGAACTTCAAGTCTAGTCGAGAAACTTTCATAAGACTTCTATCGATACTCTGCCTGGAATTAATCTTTCCTTAAGCTCATATTGTAATGCAAGGACCAAGAGCCACATTCTGCCGTGCCTGATGGCGACTCCTCAAAACAGAGATATCCAGATGTCTACTGCTACTGCTGGCCGAGGCCTCAACTACCCAACCGTTCTTTTTTTTGGAAAAGTTTAACCAACTATAATTACACTAGATTAATGCGAGCGAAAAGCTTACTCTTCGTCCTCCTCGGCACCCTCAGCGTTCTTGTTCTGGTTTCTTCTCTTCACTCTACCAGGTCTGCCACCGCCGTAAGGAGAGTTAGGAGCGAAGTCAATGTGCTTCTGGGAGTCCAATCTCACCATGAAAGATGGGACGTTGACAATCTGCTTACCAACAGCAATGTGTCTCTGGGTAATCAAGACTCTAGCGTGGTGGATAGATCTGGCAAGACCGAGCTTGAAAACCTGGGTCTGCAATCTTCTCTCCAAGAAGTCCTCTGGTCTCAAGGCCAAGACGTAATCCAACTTCATCTTGTCCTCTGGCAAGACACCGACTCTCACCAATCTTCTGATCAAGGCGTTACCCTCGAACAATCTCTTCTCATCCTTGTCATCTCTGGTCAAAAGGTCACGAGCGGCTCTTCTGATCTTAGACAACTGGAAACCAATTCTGTAGATCTCTCTCTTGTTCTTGAGACCGTACTCACCAGCCAACTTCAATTCAGCGTCCAAACGAGCAGACTCGTATGGCTGCTTTGGCACAGAGTAAACCTTGGAGTAAGTTCTTGGGGCACCTGGGTGTTAGTTAAAGCGTTGGCAAAATTTGCCGGGCTCTACAATCTTCCTAACAGAAAGCATAGTGGTAAATGGATACCTGAACAGTAGGGGTGTTCAAACACGGCACCAAATAGCTGCTGGTCTGTGAGTGTAACTGAAGTGTCGGGGGTTCAGTTACGGGAGACGAATCTCCAAGGTTGATTGTAGAGGACCCGAAACCTCATAGACGGCACCGAGTGCTGTCTATTTGATAAGAAATATTAATTTCTTCTTGTGGATGGTTAAAACATACGAGGCATGTTGACTTAGTTCTGAGATGAAGAAAAGAAAAAAAGAATTTTCCAAGGGAAATCCTCTTAACTTATAGTGCGAAAAAAATTTGAAAAAAATTCGTTAGTCGTGTGCACGCCAAATCCTCGATGGACCTGCCAGTTCTCCTGCCGCAGACCCTCATTAACTCTGTTGCGCGTTAATTTCAGACCTAATCAACCTGATTATGGCTGTCTCATACTGGGAAGAACCATCGTTGAGGACTTTTCAAATCGGATAATGGTGCGGATTTCTGCTCAATTGTTGAAAGGCGCTTAAATGATATTCTCTAATATGTGAGGTGATCCACAAATGTTCAATCAGTGCTTGTAGGTTGGACGGGCAACCCATGCTCCTTCGTTATTTTTGACGAATACTTTCAAATAAAAGCGCCGGTAGAGTTCTGATCTGCTTTTAAACACTTCGATCAGCAGTTTTGCAACATCACGCATTAGCGTGTATTATCATTTGCGTGCCATTTGAGGATCTACCGCCCAATCCAAGTGTGATCTGTTTAGAATGTTGTGTTCTGTACTTCAACTAAAGGAGATTATCGGCTTCTTGTAAATTGACCTTCCATCAAGGGCAGGTCAATTTTTTTCACTTTTTTAGAGCATGCCGGTCTTATCGTAGAATCAATGCACCTCGATCTGCTCATCCACCTTCGCGCATCCCATTTATCTATCTCAGGCTACTCCTACGATGAAGTTTGTCGCTTTAATATCTGGAGGCAAAGACTCCTTTTATAATATATTGGAATGCCATAGACAGGGCCATGAGCTTGTGGCTTTGGCCAATTTGCATCCGCTCAATGTCGATGAGAATGAGACAGACTCCTTTATGTTCCAAACAGTCGGACATGATCGAATTGAGCATTATGGTTTATGTCTTCTGGTCCCATTGTATCGTCAACCACTCACAGGCGGCTCGACAAATGTTCAATTGGAGTACACCCCTACTGCTGACGACGAAATCGAGGATCTTTACACTCTTCTATCCAGGGTCAAGGAGGAGATGCCAGATATAGAGGGTGTCAGCTGTGGTGCCATTCTTTCACATTATCAACGAACGAGGGTGGAGAATGTCTGTGATAGACTTGGTCTCACCTGTTTGGCCTTCTTATGGCAGAGAGATCAGGCAGAATTGATGCTGGAGATGTGCCTGCTGGGTCTCGATGCTCGGTTAATCAAATGTGCTGCCATTGGTCTCAATGACAAGCACTTGGGAAGGCTGATTTCTGAAATGCTTCCAATCCTCACCAAACTCAACCAAATGTACGACGTTCATGTGTGTGGTGAGGGAGGTGAGTTTGAAACTTTCGTCTTTGATTTTCCCCTTTTTGAGAGACGCCTCGAGATTTTTGACGAGAAAGTCGTTGCACATTCTTCGGATTGCTCTTATCTTACCTTCCTGACGAAGCTGGTTCCGAAAGAGAGTTGTGACATTACAGGTAAGTCCGCAGACCTCAACAAAAAAAGAGAACCTCTTGAAGAAGACTTTTTGTTGGTGCAAGAAAGCGTAACAGACAGTGCACCAATTACCATCCCTGAGGTGAAGGATGTGTCGTTTCCAATTGGGCCAAATGTAATTCCAACTCCCTTAAGACTATATGTCTCCAACATTACCAGTACAGCCCCGGACGTGAAGGGTCAGACTCAAGACATCATGACCCAGTTATCCAACATTCTCAAAGCACACGAGGTTTCCATCACAGACATTCAACATGTCACTGTTCTTGTTCGAGACATGAGTGATTTTGCAGCAATCAACAAGGTATACGCTTCTTTCTTCGCGGACACATATCTCCCACCATCTCGTGTCTGTGTTCAAACCACACTTCCACAGCCTTACCACCTACAAATATCATGTATAGTTCTCGATCCACCGGCCCAAACAAGACAAGGTATTCACATCAGATCGAGATCATTCTGGGCCCCTCAAAATATCGGGCCATATTCCCAAGCTATTGTGGACACCAAAGACACATTCAAGACAGCTACTCTTTCCGGTCAGATCCCTTTGATTCCAAGCACGATGGAGCTAGATAGTGAGGATCCTGTGAGGTCTGCAACACTATCTCTCCAACACCTTTACAAGGTGAAAACACTCGTTAACGTCAAACAATTAGCAGCGGCTGTATGTTTTGTCACTACCACTTCTCCTCAAATTGCCTCGCAAGTGTGGAAGGAGTACGTGCAAGAAGTTGAACATGGACAGGATTTCGACGATCGACTCATCATTGTTCAAGTTTCCGGATTGCCAAGAGGAGCGAACATCGAGTGGGGCGGATTGGCATTTGAGCGTGTTGTTGGCATGTATGATGATGATGAAGAGAGTGATGCGCCAAGGTTGCTTCCCTCTGCTGCTGAGCTCACGCAAGGTTTCAAGGCCAATATCGTCAACATCAACGAGAACCTCAATGTGGTGAAGTTGATGACTAGTGATATTGGTCTTGTGATCGATTTCCTTCGCAGTCCAGCTATCGGAAACTCTCATGTGACGGTCATGACCAAACTTCTGAATGTCCATAAGCTAGTTGCTTTGGGACTCCCAGCTGAATGGGTTCCAGTGCTCACAGTATGGGACAGCGATGGTACAGAGTTCGAATTCGCTATCACCTGGATAGCCTAAATTTCGCAGCCATTCTTTAGCACTGCGCATGAAAAAACAGGCACTATTCTCAGAAAGTTCTTCCTCTGCAGGCAAAGCGATGATCTGAATAGCACATACTATTTCCACATAAGCATAATGTACAGCCTACGACCTTTGGCCGGGTCGTTGAGCCGATCTTCGGTTCGGCCAATGATTTCCAATAGAACCGTTTTTGTGATGAGTAACGAGAAGAAGCGGAGAACGAAAAAAGTCGCCTCAAAACCAAAACCCATATCTAGGCCCGAGCCTCAGCCTAAGAAAGAAGAGCTTTCCAAGGCCGAGCAAGTCCAAAGATTACAGCATTCTAAAAGATTAAGAGAGTTTGAGAAGCTTACTCGAAGCGTCAACTCTTACTTGGTGAGAAAAGAGACACTAGGTGGAAACCCACCCAATGCATCATTAGATGACCCTGCTGATGAGGTATACCAGTCTGTTCGAGAGAAACCCGTTATCCAGAAAACATCAATTTCAAAAGCCATATCAGCCCCATCGTCATTTGATCCCCTGAAGTCCACGTTAAGCTCTCCAGCGGTGGACCTACCTGAACCCATACAAGAGAGATTGGGCCTCTCCTTGAAATACCTTGTAAATAAAGACCATCAGGATTGGGATGTTGTTCTTCGGCAACTTGAACATGAAGGAGGATTCAAAGGCCTCGTTGAAAGAGACGTGCGGAAGCTAGTGTACGCTATTCCAAGACCTCAGCTTCACACTGTCTTTCCCAAAATCGAGGAACTTTTGGAAGCAGCTGGTATGCAAAAATCTCCAAAGATCATCAATGCCTACATGAAAAGTGTGATTCATCGTGGAACAGTGGATCTGACCGAGATGGAAGTCATAGAAAAATGTGTGGAGCATATGAGAGGATTAACAAAGAAGGGTAGTCTTTCTCGAGAATCCTACGAAATTTTGGTCGAAGCTTACGGAAAGAATTCAAATATTGACAAGGTGAACAAGACTATCTCCGAGATGAAGGAGCTCGGTTTGGAACCGCTGAAAAATGTCTATTCTAATGTACTCGCAACGTGCGTTTATAAGACAAAGTCTCACGATGCAGCTGTTCAGCTTTTTGACTCCATGAAGTTCTTCTCTCAAAAGACACAGCCCTCAACACGTGAGTATCAAGATATTATTGTCAGTCACGTCAATAACAACGATATTGAGAAGGCGTTGGACTTGTACCAGGAGATGATTCTTGATAAGGTCCAAATAAACCAGAATATTGTGGTGGCTCTCGCAAGAGGTTGCTTCAACAGAGAGGAGTACAGGGTCAGGGCGTGGGATTTCATGTTTGAGGTTCACAGAAGAGACTGGACCCCAACCGTCCAAACCGCCGAGTACATGCTATACTTGGCACTGAGAGATGGCGATTTACCGTTGGCTCGTTCGCTTTACCAGCAACTCAATTTGGCTGGCAATACGTCCCCACGCTCTTTCTCTTTTCTTCTTTTAGCCTATGCTAACGCTAGTCTCGAAGATAAGACTCCGACGATTCTCTACAATGAGTCGGGTCGCCTGTTCCGTCATAACATCATCAATCAGACTGAGCTCAATCCAAACGTTGACGATCCGAAGAAGGCGCTTCCTTTCTTGCCAAAGTTTTTCTTCGATACCTTTGATGAAGTTTTAGCAGAATCCAGTGCCGTGATGGCCCACACAATGATGGTGAATCGTCATTTCGTCAACACAGAGAGCATTAACACATTCCTTAACGTTGCTGCCAACATAGGCAGTCTTGAAGAATTCAAGGACAGACTCGAGCTGTTCACCTACTTGGATAGGGAAGGCGTTCCCGCTGTGAGAAGCATCATTGAGCCTGAAGACGCCATCATAGAGGAGAACGAAGATGAAACTCAGGTCACCAAGATATCTCCTTCGAAGGCTATTGCAAAATCTCCTATTCTTCAACAACTTGTTGACTCATCCTCGGGGCGCTATAAAGTACCCAGAAACACAATCACTTATCTCATTGCATTGAAAGCTGCAGCTAAGCACAAGAACTACAATCTTGCGCAAACCATGTGGACCGAGAGAGGTCTTTATAGAAAGTCCGTTCATTGGAACAAACTTACCAGACAAGAAAAAGATCGACTTGATTTCGACTTTGCCGTTGCTATGGTCAACGCCCTCACCCAACTTGGTTTATTTGACGATGCTCTTGCAATTATTGTCAGCACGGAATACCAGTTCAAGTGGAAGAGGCATCATTTCTCGCAATTATACAAAGAGGCCGTTGAGATTGGTAACAGCAAGATTACGCAAACACTCCGTGGCATAGCGAAAAGAGCTCAGGTCAATTTCGAAGGTAAGATCCGCAGAAAAGACTATAAAAGGTTTGTTATGGAAAATGGTTACTAGTATATAGTGTGCATCATTTAATTTGTATATAGAATACGCTGCACGAAACCGCTATTTACATGTAATTATGCTGATGAGTCCATCCTTAATGATGAGCTTTTTGATATCTTTGTCGCCAACGAATTTCTTGACTTGCTCCTCTGCTAAGGCAACCTTGAGCACCTCAGACTCTGGTTCGGATGACAATGTCCGGAGAGCCCTGATAAAGTGCCTAGCTTTTCCGTTGACGAATATGTTGAATTGGGTGTATGGTGACGCGATGGGCTGCGATGTGGGAAACGATTGGGCGAATATTGACTCTAATGGTTTATTGATTCCTTTCCTCAAAATTTCCCAACACTCTTCCGCCACTGATGGGGTGACTGGGGCCATAACAACCAATAACTTCTCATATCCATCGAGCAAAACCGCTGGATTGATAGTCTTCTGCTTGACCGCAGATTGTAAAGCATTGGTCATTTTCATGAAGTCGGAGACAATAGTGTTGAGCGAGAGATCAACATCAATAGATTTTGCAATCCTACTGGTGTAGAACCGAATATCGTTGTAAACCTTTAATTCGTCGTCAGAGAGGGTAATTGATGGTTGTATCTGTCCTGAAATCTCGATATCTTTGAATTCCGTGCCTCCGGTGCACTTGTACTCCAGTTGATTAACGCTTCGGATAATTTCATCCTTGAGATTAATAACTTTTTTCAACCATCTTTCAATCCCTTGGATCTGGTCTTCATTCCAATTGAGCTCGTCTGAAACGGGAGCTGAAAATAAAATGTGTGCCCTGACAGTATCTGCGCCGTACTTTCCAATGCATTTAGCAGGGTCAACTCCGTTGTGCTTCGATTTGGACATTTTCTCGTAACTCACTGAGGGAGTTTGACCAGTTTCTTTGATTGTCGGCTTGCTGGGCTCCGTCATGTCCAACTCTTCTGGCTTGAGAAATTTACCAGTCTCGGGATCGGTGTAAGTCTTACCGTGAACCATACCTTGTGTAATTAACCGTTTGATTGGTTCGTTGTTGAAAGCCTTGCCGTCCCATAAGCCAGCATCTCCCAAAAATTTGGAGATAAACCGCGAGTAAAGAAGGTGTAGAATGGCGTGTTCAACGCCGCCGATGTAAATATCCACTGGCATCCCACTTGTAGCCTTATTGTAATCAAAAGGTTTCTCTGTATTTTGCGCATCAAGATATCTGAAAAAGTACCATGAAGAGTCAATGAAGGTGTCCATGGTGTCAGTATCACGTTTTCCGGGACCCCCACAAGAAGGGCAGGTAGTGTTAACGAAAGATTCGAGCTTGTCTAAAGGATTGCCGCTACCAAAGCTTTTTCCATCGATTTTGGGGAGCAAGACGGGCAAGTCTTCATCTGGTACTGGGACTGGACCACAAGAGTCGCAGTGGACGATAGGAATCGGAGCACCCCAATATCTCTGTCTTGAGATGAGCCAGTCCCTAATTTTGAATTGAACCGATTTACCGCCATTTCCTGACCTCTCCAACATTTCGACGATCTTCTGACCAGCCTCTTTGGAAGTTTTTCCTTTCAAAGTTCCAAGAGAGGAAACACCATTCTTCAATAATGACGCATCATAGAGTTTACCGTTCTTGCCGGTAAAGATGCCATCAAGCTGCCCGATTTCGCTCTCTTTAGCGGGTCCAACAGTAGGCTGAATTGGTGTGTTGGGCTGATGGAGAGCCCAAAAGTCAAAATCACGCTCGTCATGAGCAGGGCAACCCATCACAGCACCGTGTCCATAAGACCCTAAGACATAAGGTGCAACATAGACAGGAACGTCAAAAGTTTCACTGGCAGAACCGTCGATATCAATCGGCAAAGAGACTTTCACATCTTTCAAAAGATATCCCAGTTTGGACAACGGATCCTCGTCAAGACTTGCAAGTTCGATGTATTCCGCCAACTTGGGATCTCTCTCTGAGCACTCTTTAACAATGGGATGGTTCAATGCAAGTGCAACAAATTGTACACTGAAAAGAGTGTCCGGCCGTGACGTAAATACGGTCACGCCATTCTCTGAACTCCCCAGGCTAGGGAAAGTGATTTCTGCACCATGGCTTTCGCCAATCCAATGCTTCTGCATAGCCTTCACCTTTTCAGGCCATTGATCTAATATCTTGAGATCTTTCTGTAGCGCACTTGCGTACTTGGTGATACCGATGAACCACTGCTCCAAGTTTTTCTTCTCGACCTTGGCTCCAGATCTCCATGACCTTCCTTCTGAATCGACCTGCTCATTGGCCAAGACAGTCTGATCAACCGGATCCCAATTGATCTCAGCACCCTTTCTGTAAGCCAATCCGTTTTCGAAAAGCAAAGTGAAGATTTTTTGTGTCCATCTATAGTACTCCGGGGAAGACGTGTTGACCTCTCTCTCCCAGTCGAAGTCAGCGAGCATGAGCTCCATCTGGTCCTTCATTTTCTGAATGTTCGTCTCCGTCCAAACAGCAGGATTGATTCCTCTTTCGACAGCTGCATTCTCTGCTGGTAGGCCAAAAGCATCCCAACCCATTGGATGTATGACATTGTAGCCCTGCAAACGCTTGAATCTCGATATAACGTCACTAATGGTATAGACCCTTTGATGGCCTAGATGAAGGGTGCCAGAAGGGTATGGGAACATAGAGAGACAGTAATACAGCTCGTCCTTCTTGGGTGAATATTTGGCGTATTCAATGGGCTGATCTTTCCATTTTTGCATCCATTTCTTGTCTATTTCATTAAGTTTTATTTGGGGCGCAGCGTTCAGGGACGACGCAAGGGAGCGCAAAGTCACACGAAGGAAAGGTTGACCCGGTGAAAGCTTCATTCTCAGCTTTCCAGAACCCCAGACCTGCGAGTACTGAAGAGATTCACTTCGCGACTCATGTTGGAAACTTACTCGGTAGTGCAGGATTATGCAAGAGCTCGCAGCGCTTAATTTGCAACCATTTAAACTGCTTCGTTCACTGAGGCATTCTTTCTTTGGCGTAACGAAGCCAATGGCCGTAAGGAAGAAAACAAAAGGTCGCCAAGACCTGTGAAGCCAAGGCTATCGAGTCTGTTGAGAAGGTTGACCTTGATCTCGAAGTAGCTCTTCAGCACCCACTTGACCTCGGGATTCTGTTGCAACATGGCCACAGATTCCTCTGAAAGTGGCCCGGGATGTCTCACCGTGATTTCGTCCTCATCATCCTCAAGGTTCCAGATAATCTCAGCCGCTAGGTACGATGTGCCGGGATTGTGCGATAACCCTCCCACATTCTTGAGCTCGATAAGATCTGAGTAACTAAAGAAGCTTAGACCAGCTAATTTCTTCAAGTACTCTGCATCAAGGAACATACCCTTGTTGAACGTACCTTCTTCGATTTTAAATGCTTGATCGAGCCAGACGAGATTAATCGAATCCATGATAAGACTGTTCCTCAATTTCAATGAGTCTCCTCCTTCTTCAAATTTGAGTGTTCGTAAGAAGGCGATGTAGCCTAGCGCCTCTGACAAAATGAATGGGTTTGTGGACATTATCATCTGATAAAATAAAGTAGGACTGGGTATGAGCACACCGAAGTCCATGGTAGCCAGAACTTCTGCAAACCCTACTTGCTTTATGGAGCGCAAGAGGGTCGTGAATTTCAATTTCGTCAGTAGAGAAAAATTTCCCCATTGCACTTCAGCAATGGAGAAAAGGGTTCCAACAATGTTATGTATGGATTGGTAAACATTCTGAAAGAAGCCGTACTCGTTGTGGAGAACGTTCCACTTAAGAAATGTCTTTGAGAGTTCAAAGAATACTGAACTCCAGTACTCATGATCGTTCCCGTCATTGAGACGATTGATAAAGGTCTGAATTGGGCCATCGTTTGGTGGGAGTAAGCTCAAAAGTTTACATTGCCTTGTCTCTTTGATGGAGCCATTGGATATAGCCACTTCGAAAGGTTGCGTGAGTTGTTCAAAGCACCCCAACTGTCCAATCAAGTATAACTGATCGAAAGCAGTCTGTGAAGCGGAAGGCGATAGCGCGTGAAACTGGACAGCTTGAATGAATTTCTTGATTATCGGCAGATCAACGCTTGCCAAAATCAAATGAAACGCGACGAAATACTCTCGTAACTTTTCGTTGGTGATGTTACTCAATGTGAAGAGTGACCCTGGATTCGCCATCGAGATTTTGTCAAACTCATCTATCAATGTTCGAAGTGATTCGACAGTTCCAATCGAAACGGTTTCTGTTTCGGGCGATTCAAGTAGGTCCAAATCGTTGAATGAATTAATGATTATCTTTCTCTTTTTGAACGCAGGGGTTGTGAAGGAGTCGAAGATCCTCTGAACCTTGTCCTTCACCTCTTTTATCTCCCATAAGTCGGATGACGAACGCCTTGCACTCAAAAGTGTCACGAGCTCTTTATTTGGATACTTCACAGCTTCCGCTTTGGATAGCCCTAAAGAACCTGATTCTGATGAACCACGCAAGTCTAGGGTTGGGTTTAAACGTTTCATGAATGCTAGTAGGGATTTGATGGAGGGGTCGAAAGGAAACTTTGAAGATAGGCTGAGCACCACATTGACATGCCAGGGCTTTAACGCATACTTTCTTTGACTTGTGAAGACGTCTTTCAGCTTACGTTGTTCCGAAAGTGCAAGGATAATGAGTGTGGTGATATTTGGTCTCAGGTATTCAAAGGAAAGCAAGCCGAATAGGGTGGGTAAAAGTCTGTGTAGCTCTTCGAACAATGCCTTTCCAAAGAGATGCAGAGCACAAATCAACCACTCTAGTAGTAAGTTTTGCGATGTAGGAGGAAGTCTTTTCAGTTTGAGTTGCTTCCCGTTTCTGAAGTATACCTCGGAGACCCCAACGGCACCTAAGATTCGAGATATTGTATCAACTTGAATCAAGTATTCGCCATTGGGCACGAGGCATTTGGTGATAAGAGTCTGGCGTAAAGTGCTTCTCAATGAGTAGTCGAAGACTATGTCCAACACCATGTGCAATTCAGGTTCTGAGAGACCATCCAGTGCAGCTAATTGACTCAATTGCTCAAGCGCATCGGATGACTGGGGTCCTCTTTCAAATAAGCTTCGAAGATGTTCCGAGACATCTTCCAGCAGGTGCATCGTGGTAGCTTAGGTTGATGTAGATGATGTAGATATGTAAATAAACATCCTGTGCAGAGTATAGCGATGCCGTGGATCAGACCCACGAACATCAAGAGTTGTGATTCAGAAAAATCTTCAGATTTCCAAAATTGAGCAGATTCTTGTATTGATTCGAAAATCTGCCTTTTTCACTGTCTTTTCCCTCAAGGTCGAGCTCAACTTTGTTTCTACCATACGCGCTTTATTTTGCAACCATTTTACGTGTAACCCATTACCTATATTAATACTGGTTATTTGCGAGCTCAGATACCACCTGCCTCTCTATACCAACGAACTCCACGATCAAAACTGACTACACAAAGCCCCTCGTTAGAGTCTCCTCCAGCACCTGCTCTGACACCTCTATCGATGAACGCGACGCCACTGCAAACGCTACTGTCAATGCTGTCGTCATGCTCGGTATTTTCTAAGTCGGTGACATTCACTTGTAAAGTAGCCTCACGCTCACGCAGCTCGAGATTCCACACCCTGATGCATTTGTCAAAACCGCAACTTGCAAGAAGCAGGCCGTCGGCATTGAAGTCGAGACCCATGATCCATCCGTCATGAGCGAAACCTCCAACAGTGGTCTTGGTGGAGTGTGACAGTGTAGTCAATGATCCGACATTCTCACCATACTCGACATCGTAGAGAGTGATCAGGCCAGCAGACTGGTTATCTCTCGCAACCGCAAGGATAGATCCACCGGGCGAAAATTCAAGCACACGAGGAACGGAGCTGGATCCTATGTTCTCGTCGACCTGGAGATCTGTCGAGTAAAAGGTGAACAAGGCCTTGAGGCCATGTAAGGTGAAGACAGCAACATCTCCAGAAGTGTAACCCACAGCGACGAGTCCGTCTGTAGCTTGGGAGACTCCCAAGGAGTTTGGAAATGCAGCGTTGTTCACAGTTACGTGAAGCTCCCCTAGAAGCTCTTCAGTGGCGATTTCTATAGTGCCCTCAACATCCTTGATGCTCAAAGCATATACAGCAGCCAGGCCGTTCGCCTTGGTGACAATGAACATGTCTTGCTTTGATTTTGGGTCTTTGTAGAAGCCAGGCGTCCAGAAGTTTGCTTTGAAAGTAGAACCTGTGTCCAATTCTTTGAAGGTTTCGAGATTTTCATCGATGTAGTAGTAGAACTTGATGGAGCCATCGAAACATGCGAAGGCTAGAAGAACCACCTTTTGTGTCAGTTCTGGTGGAATATTTTCGTATACAGCCACATGGTGGATGCCAATTTCGTTGATCAACTTCTTGACCACTGAATCTGAAGGGTTGTGGACCTCGTCCTTCTTGTTGTCCCAAAACGCCACTTGACCGTCACTGGATACGGTAATTGTGTATTTGTCGGTCATAGCGACTCCGGTTATGTCCAGACCATGAGCATGGGAGGCTGTCACAGTCAGGATGTACTGTTTACCCATTGCTAGCTGTTCTATAAGTAGTTTCAGAGATATGCGAGAGGTATTGAAGATGTACGCAGGGCGAGAGGGTAGACCCAAAAGATGAAGGAAACAACATAGGAGACTGGATAGTATTAGGATTCTCAATTCAACTATCGTCAGGTCGGCTTCATCAATTTATGGAAAAAGCATGTCCTTCAATGTCATTAAACTTGCTCTAGAGCGCCTTGCTTCCTTCACAGCTAGAGAGGTGATGGCGAAATTCCGTCTAGCAAGAAAAAATGACATTTACATCAATTGAATGATATCAAAGTAGCTCAATTATAGGCATGTTTGCCTTTTTGAGCCCAATGTTGCTTTGCTTTCTCGTAAGGCCCACATGTGGATATACGGATTTGGCTGCGAAAAGGCTGCAAAAGTCCACAATCACCACCACTTCTTCCATGTTCAAGAAAATCTTCCGACCTCCTTCCTCCAGATCGAAAAAGGAGATAGAGAAATCATTATTCGAAAAGGGGCCAACTATCAGGGTCACCTCCTTAACCGACTCAGACCTACAGCGTTACCGTGAAGACAACGGTCTCTCCGACACCAAGTGTGATACTTCCAACGACAAAACGGAGAAGAAAGAATGTGCAAAGAACTTTTTCTCTGGAATTGACCCATCCGATATCACAATTGAGGATCTCGATCCTTACGCAGACAAGAATAGGGTCCGTCGGTCAAGAAGCTTCACGCTTCCACCATCTAAACCACCATCGGCCTTTAAGTTACCCAGGAGCAAAACCGTTCATTTTGCTGACCAAAGTGAATCCTTGAAAAGGTTCAGAAAGAGGGTATCTGAAGAAGAAAGCTCGCTGGTTTACTCTGATGAGTCGGCTGACTTGAGAGGTGTTCACGGTAAAGTTCAAGAGCGGCTTACAGGCATCTTCAAGGAAGAGGATTATGAGTTTAAAGCAGCTGAAGAAGAAGATGCAAAGCCAGCAGAAGGTTCCACTTCTGTTGAAGTGGCTGCAAATGAGGAAAGTTCCGGATCACCACTCGACGAGGAACTCACAGTTCGTGAGAAAGAAGTAGAAGAGCTGCCATATATGTCTTCTGGTGATAGTATTTCTCCCGATATGGCGGATTTAGATGTTCTGCCTGACACCAAAGACTGGGATCACACGATCTATGTTTCTTGTGACGAGAACGGAAGAAACATCACTAAGCAGCTATCTGACTTGTATCAGAAGCACTTCCCAGGAACCAACCTCGATTTTGATGACTTGGGTGAACTCATAATCAGTATTGATTCCGGGATTGGAGATAGCATACAACAGAACAAGTTTTGTCAGTCTCTTCTTGCTTCAGAAAAGAAGAGGGCTAATGATGCTGAAGCCGATGTGGAGGCATGGAAGCAACAGTTTGACGAGATAAACTCAAAGTACGAGGAACTCAATGATATTCAAACTGAGAGGCAGAATCGCTTGGAGGGCGAGATTGAACACATCTTGGAGAAGTCCTCCAAAGAGCTCGAAGCTTCCAATGAGGTCATTAAAGACTTACGTGACCAGCTAAGGGCAAATAGCGAAAGGTGTGATGATCAAAAACATGCCATTGAAGCGCTTACAGAGAAGGAAGGTGTACTCATGAAGCAGAAAGAGTCCTTGGAATCAGATCTTTCCAAAGCGTTCAGAGAGAATGAATCGTTGAAAAAGGCGATTGAAGAGATCAAGAACAAACTGTTGGAGGATCTGAAAGCCAACAGTTTGAGAGTGATAGATCTCAAAAGTGAGAACAACGACTTGAAGCACAGCTTGGATGCCACTAACCAAGACCGGGAGGCACTCTGGACAACCAAAGTCGACCTCGAGCGTAAGCTTCAAGACTACATCATCAAGATAGAGTCACTTGGAACGGCTGAAAAGGAATGCAAGGCCACCATCCGTCAAAAGGAAGCTCTCATTGCAGAAAAAGTGAGCATCATCAAGAACTTTGAAAGTAATGCCCAGAAGCATGAGGAGGTAAGTGAGGCCCTCACCAGAAAGAACTTGGAGTTGAAAATAGGTCTTGAAACTTGCCAGACCGAGAAGTCAAACTTTGAGGCACGGGTCAAAGAGCTTGGCGTGGAAAGATAATCCTTCCTTCAATCTCTTGAAAGCCTCCAGCGCAAGGTGGATGATGGCTCAAAAGAGCTCAAAGAGGTTGAGAGCAAGAATTTGGAGGCCCTGAAGCAATTACGAGATCTCTTCAACAAGCAACAGGAGAAAGCCGCTCAATCCTCCAAGAAGCTTGAAATTAAAGAGTTAGAAAGAAAGCTGCTCGACCAAAAAGTTGTTGATCTCAATGCTGAAGTGCTTCAGCTCAAGAAGGAAGTCAAGACTAGAAGAGCCAACTTCCACACTTGCTTCGATGGTTTTGAAACAATGAAGTGGTCTAATAACTTCACTGTGGAAACAATGAAGAAGCTTCTCAAAAGCACATACGAAGCAATGGCTCCCTTTCTTGCCAGGGAGGCTGCCTCAGCAAATGCCCAGCTCTACTACGAGGTCAATCGCATCCTGGTATTCAGCAAGGATAATCAGACCAGCCTTACTGAATTGACGACAGCTCTCATTGAATCAAGCCGTCAAGTTTCTCGTGAGTATGCAGAAACCCTCGAAGCTCTAAGAGTGGAGAGAAAAGGTCGAGCCGAAAGTCAGAGGGAGTCAATGGCTGTGATCAGGCGGTTAGCACGCACGAACCGCAGAATGCAAAAGGCTTCTAGACAGATCGAGGAGATTCTGATACCAGCCAACATGCCTGCTGGCAGAAAGAGTCAAGTACGTGATTGCCCAGTCGAATCATTGATTTAAAAAGTTCCCCTTATATATGTTTACGAGTATGTTCCTAAGGCGGTGTAAGAAATCAGTCTGTGCGAAGTGGCTGCAAAAAACCGTTAGCTTCAACTACAGCCCCAACCACACTTCTTCTACACATCCACAACTGATTCCAAATACCAGTAACAGCCATGCTGCATCCATGTGGCAATTCTCAATCCGAAGGCAACCTTGTCGATTGGTGGTCCATTATGGGCTCCAAGGCAAACCAGACTTATGCGATAGCTCAGCTGCTGCAATCACCGTCACCTCAGAACATCAGCAGTGAATCCACCGAAAGCAACAATGATCCACCAAGAAAGCGAGATAAGCTCAGATCGTGGTGGCCGTGGAAGAAAGCTGCCACTGAAACACCCACTCACTCAGTCAATACCAACGAGTCGAACGGAGCTTCTGGAAGAAAACAGAACACACTCAAGTCTCAAAGAAGTACATTCTTTGTGAGACTACGTCTATCAAGAAAGAAGCACTCAATTGACTTGAGGAGCCCTTGCAATCTTGGTCCTGGCGTTTGCACCACGAAGGTCTGTGCGGTGAATACCAGCAGGGTATGAATAACGAGGTCTCCATTCTTCTTTCCAACTTATTACGAATAAGCAAATTTCTTAATTACAAAATCATTTGAAAAATACCCTGCTAAAGTGATAGGTTAGGCCGGGTTCTATAGTATTGATCTGTGTATCCTGCATGTTGTGCAACAGCTTCATACACCATCGGTGATGTAGAATAACATCTAGTGCAACATGCCAGCATTCGCTGATTCCCTCGCACAGAGTAGTGCGTTTAAAATCCCGTTTGCAGACTTCTCCACAAATGTCGTTGTCAAAGATAATGAGCAATTGTTTTTTGCATCGGGCGATACTGTTATTGCCATGGACTTGACATCGCCGGCTCACAACTTCAAGCTTTTGAATCTAGGCAATTCACACCGCATCAACAGCATCCAACTCAACCACACCCATAGCTTGTTGGCACTTATCTGTCGCAGGTGTATCATTGTTGTCTGCTTGAAGCGTATCCCATTTCTCGAACCAAACCAATCCTGGGAACCACTTAAGTTTGTCATTAATCTTTCGAGTGATGTACAGTCGGTTTCGTGGCATCCTGCTAGTTACTCGGCTACTGATCTAGTGGTTTTGACGAAAGATAAATTGCAACTGTTCGACATCATCAAGTCAACGACGAAGGCCAAATTTGACGAGAAGTTGGAGGACCTAGCGCTTCGTGAAACTCCAATCTCCATCGCGTTTGGTTCTGCTCTCAGTCTTTCTGGTTCCTTGTCACTTTATTACAGCACTGCTTCAGGTCATATCTATTCACTCTTTCCATTCATATACCCAGGTTTTCATTTGGGGGCTTCTAAGTCTGCGGTGGACCTGTTCGTGTCCGAGACTCAGGAACTAGTCAGCATGGTAGAGGGGAAGTTCCCTCCCAGAGTGATTGCTGGCCATCCTTCTAACAACGACTTGTTAGTGCAGCTCAATTTTGGTTTGGATCTTCAGAATCAAATCGAGAGCCCTTTGTTGAATTCGTCGGATCCTTACAAAGTGCTTCGATTAAAACACTTACCAATGGACCCCTTGGTTTCGGGTCCATACGCCAAGGTCGCTGCAAACTCGCTGCTCACATCGCTAGACACGAATACTGCCGCATCGGTGATCCTCGCTCACCACGATTCTGAGTCTCAATTTGAGATGACTTATTTGGCACAACTATCACCTCTAGTGATGTCCAGCGCATTCGATATCCCTAGGCCAGATGCTCCGCAACATCCAAGCGCACTGCAGGCCAAGAAGGATAATGATAAGTATGTCAAACCGAAGAAAGGGTTTGGCCTTGCATTCGCGTCCGATGATGAACTGGATGATGAGGCTAACACGAACAGCCAATTTGTTGACTACTCAAAAGCTTGGGAAATTTATGAATTGAAGATCAAGTGTCAGGACTTCATTCTTCTGCATCAAAAACTCACATCACTATCTGTGGAGCAATATAAAAAGAACTCGCCTGGCGCCGCTTCTGTCATAGCTCAAACGTTCGGACGTCTCTTGTTATGTGTTAAAGACAAAGTCCAGGTTGTTGATTGCCTGCAATGGTTTGGGGAATTAGAGGATGGCTTTCCTCTAGGTGTCGCTGAATTCTATTCGGAGAAGACGACTTTCTCTGTCGAGAAGCCCCTTACAGCCATAGCCTTAATTCATGACGTAGGTGATCCATCTGATCCCTATCTATTCATGAGGTCCCTAGGGGGCGAGATCGTTGTTGCACAAGTCTATCCTGGAGATGGGCTGGACGATGAAGCCGAAGCTGAAGATGATTCGCCTCAAGTCCACGACAAGTTCGACGCAAAGACAGTGCACGATATTGGTATTTCTGCAAACGAGCTAAAACGCATGTTGAAGTATCCTCACAGCGCTCAAACGACCTTTTCATCTAAGACAAGAAATGCAGAGGATCTTATTACATTGTCAAAAATCTCAGATGTTACTCGGGCTCACATTCATCAACTTTCGAAATTCATTATCGCTCTTGTTGGCAAACTTGAGGTACAGCAGAAGCGTAACTTGATGCACAGCTCTCTTCTTGATGGAGATAAACCTATAGAAGAGTTCAAACAGCGCATACCGATGTATACAAAGCGCATAGAGGAGCTTCTTGCGCGTCAGGAGCATCTCTTAAAGCGTGGCAATGATATCGAGTCAAAAGTAATCAAAAGATTCGAAGATAGCAAGAGATCTGCAAGCTTACCGATTTCGCATAAGGAGAGAGCATGGATGATTGAGTTAAACGGCTTGACAAGAAACATAATAATCGGCACCCCGGAGAAAGTGTCCTTAGAAAAGCAGGTTAAGAAACTTGATAGCATCATCCGGGAAGTTCGCCAAAAGGAAGAGGACACATCTGATCTCGAAGGCAGTATGAAAGAACTACTGTTACATAACAACCTTCATAATGTTGTCCAACATATGCATAGACAGGGCAGGATTATTGAAATCGCGAAGGAGAGATTACAAGCAGACGTTGAACGTGTTGATGCATTGGTGGAAGTGTAATACATACCACTTTTATTTGAGCTTAGAATTCAAGAATGTAAGTACCGAATTGGCGCAGTACTGGTTCAGCCAGTTCTCAATAGTTCCATAGGCGACACTCTCGGTAACGAAAAAGCCAATGTGAGTACCATCGATGTCAATAGCAATGTTTTCTGGATGGCGGCTGGTGAGTTCAGCTTTCTCGCACCATCTGAGAATCTCGTCTGTCAAAACCTCATGGTCACCAAATTGAATGAGAAGGTCTCCATTTTTGATCACTGGGATATCTTTCCAGTCCACTTTATCAGCATTGAGTTCGATGTTCACAATAGGAGAGTCGTTCAAGTACTCGTCTCCCCCAATGTAGAGATTGCCAAAGTAGCTTGTCATATCATAGTTGAAGAAGTCGAGTTTGTTGAACTTTTTGAAACTGCCCTTGTACTCCTGCTTTGAGACGTTGAGGTATGGAGAGATGCCGATTGCAGCCACAGGCCACACAACCTCGTGATGGTTGCTCTTTTCGTGGAGATAGCTGAGCACATTAAGGACAAGGTTACCGCCGGCGGAGTCACCCATTAACACAATGTTAGTGTAGCCTTCATAGACTAGCTTCTCGTAGAGGCTAGTTGCCTCGTTGTATTGGCAAGGATAGGTGCAACCTTCTGAGACCAATGAATAATCGGCAAGGAGGATGGAAAGGTCGTCGCCGTATCTCAATTTGTAGGCATCGTACAAGTTGGCCATACCTTGAGCCTGGTTGACCAGCATCAGGATTGCAAAGCAACCTCCGTGGAAATAGAGGACGATTGGTGAAGACTTCAGTGTGATGTTCTTAGTGAGCCAACGGCTCTCACAGGCAAACTCTTCCTTGTCCGAATATTTTTCATTGTAGCCGGGCAATCTTCCGAGTGTCTTGGACATCATTCCCAAGATTTTGGACACTGGTACATGAACCAATTGCAAGTCTTGGACCCGGATAGAGCGGCCCATGTGCTGACAGAGACCATTGTGCAAAGTCTTGATCAACGACTTCTTAGCTGTGGGGTTGGTAAAGACAGTTCCCACAGTGAAAAACTGCAATGTGAGATAAGCTAACTTAGCGGGCAAGGTTATCAAGCCGTAGACAAGTGACAATGATGGCAACATCTTTAAGATCTTATTAAGAAAAAAACCTGTAATGAACTCGAGATAGGGGAAGTTCGGAGAACTGGACATAAGCTTCGCAGCTTGACAGGTGACATGCGCATGGGGTGCTTCTGCGAAAACCGGATTCGACCATAGTCTCAGATGGAAGAATATGCGCTTGGCCGTGTTGCCCTCATGATTAATTATAGATCTCAATTGGTCTAAGTAAGCTGTTCTGTGAAGTCCTGATGTAGTGGCAAGCTTCAGGACGCACTAATCGACCATTACTTCGAGGGAGGTGGTGGTGGTGGTGGTGTCCCATTCGATGGAGGTGGTGGAGGTGGAGGAGCTGTAGTATTTGCTGGTGGAGCAGGTGGGGGAGGTGCTTGTACTGGAGGCGGTGGTGCCTGAGCAGGTGGCGGTGGTGCCTGGGACAAATTTGGAGGTGGTGGTAGTTTCGTCAAACCCGGTGGAGGTGGGTTTTGAGATGCAGGGGGTGGAGGTGGTTGAAGTCCTGGTGGAGGTGGGGGCTGTGATGCTGTAACTGTAGGAGGCGGTGGGAGACCCAGAGATCCAATGTAGGAGTCTGTGCCCGGTTTTTGACGTTTCCAGGGAGGGACAGCCTCCTCAAAGGGTCTTTTATCGGGTCTGGGACTATGCAATTTTGGAACATAGGAGTCTCTCTCTCCATGAGGCGAGTCTCGGACTTTGTCGAAGCCCGGGCTGGGGCTTTGCGTGAAGCTGCCTGTCGGTGAGTTCTCCCCATTGCCATTCCTAAGAACACAATCTCTCGAGTAGTGTCCCACTTTTCCACAAATACGACAAACAACCAGTGTGATGTCTCTGATAGGTGGCTTCTTGTTGAGCACTTCTGGAGGCACGTATGGTTTGGTCTCTCGAAGGGTACCGTTAAGCACAGCCAATTCTCGGAGTTGGCCTCTCTTCAAATCATTTTGGCCTTCAGGGGACAGGATGGCCGTCTCCATCACTTCGTTTGTGAGCTGAATGGCCTTTTGTATCTTGGATCCCTTGTCTGCAGATATTAGAACATGCAAATCATCTTCTGCTGGAGCACCACCACGGGCGTCTGTAATGCTTTTACCATCTTTAACTGATCCTTTGCCTCTGATTTCCAACTTCGCTCCACTCTTTTCTGAAAGCTGGCGTAAGGTGTTTCCACGAGGCCCAATCAAGAGACCAACAAAGTTGATGTCGGGGTAGTCCTTGGCTGGTATGTAAAGCTTCTCACTTGTCTTCTCAGGCCTGCGGTAGTCCACTGGGGGATCGTAGTTTTTGATTGTTGTAACGGCAAGCTCGACAAGCACATCTCTCTCCTTCTCGAGCAGCTCTCTTATACGTCTTTCACGGGTGTTGGTCCTGTTACCGTTCAGATCATATTGTGGAGGTGGGGATGGATCTCTCTTGAAGTTTTGAGCCTTACTCAGAGGGAGAAGATCTAGAAAGGTTCTCCCGCTGCGTCCTCCACGACGTAAGTAATGCAGTATCTCTTCAACTCTGAAGAATCTCTGATAAGCATCTACTTGCTCCTGAGTTAGATGGCCTGTGATGATGGTGTCGAGCTTCTCATCGCCAAATTGAACTTGGCGGCTTTTTTGGCCTCCCCATTTGGTGGGTCGTGACATTAGTTTGGTATGGGTTTAGTGGAGCTTGGTTAGTTTGATGTACTTGATTTTCCGCGATGCGTTATTACTATGGGATTGATGAGCACCGATCCACCCATGAGGATGACATTTTAGAGCGATAGCCCTCAAAAAGTAAAAGATCATAATTGGGCAATGTTATTCACTACTGAATTTCCGACTTAATTAAATTTGCCTCAATCAGTATTTATGTTCTCGTATCAATTATATCCTCAGTTCAGCAAAATGGCTGCGAAATCACACTTTTTACCAAAAATACATTCAAGCCCTACAAATGTGAATACACAATGTGTGAAAGAAAATCATTGTACAAAAAAATCTTCCTCCAAAGCCTATGTTTTATTAAATTAACATACATTATCAGTGCCCCTGCGAAACAGAAGAACACTGAGAACCTCCCAACCTGCTTTTCTATGAATGACTGTCTCCACTAGCCAGCCTCTACTCCTCATTGTCTCCGCAACTTCATCGGGCTTGTTTCTAGCGCAAAATAGAATATATGCAACCCCACCAATAGCCAAGTGCTCGTCTAATCTGTCTAAGAGCTGCCATGTAACGACCATTCCATCGGGGCCGCCTAGGAGCGCCAAATCGAGCCAAGTATAATCATCTTCAGCTTTTGGTACATCTGGTACGTCTTCTGCGGGAACATAGGGCGGATTAAACACCAATATATCAATCGATCTATGTCGTATACCCGAGGCTAGACTCATTTGAAGGGCTGTGACGACCCCCTCTTTCTCACTTGGCTCATTTTTTTGAACTGTTGCTATTATAGTGGAGCAAGCGGTAGGATTAAGATCGGTTGCCAAATAAAAGGCCAGTGGGAAGACATGCATCTTGAGGAAGGCAGTGACGACCCCAGACCCAGAGCCTATCTCGCACACAACCGGGTTTTTGAATTCCAGCTGCAATTTCCCAAGATTCTCTTCAAAGCAGTCTAATAGAAGAAATGAATCTTCAGCCGGCTCATAGACCCTATCATCAGCTGCCACATCTGGTGTCGGTAGCATCACAGAGTGCTAACTGCATTGAAAAAGTATATGCCCCAGATTCATCGCATCTCGCACCCGGACACCCAGATCAGTTCGGAAGACACCAAATCCTTTGGAATATCCCAAATTCGAGTTTCTCTCTTTTGGGAATTTTAAAGGCTACAATCGGCCGACTAGAAATATGTTTTGACCTGCTGAGTCAGCTAAAGTTCATAAAGCCGGGTATGATCGTCCATACATGTCATGATGTGATCTCCAAGCAGCACATTCACCAGAGTGATTTGGAGCTTTAGAGAAAGTCGGAAATCCTCTACCAAGGTCTATACATTTTAAACAACCCCTATGATGAAGACAACTGGATCAAGTTTGGCAGATTTGATTGCACGTGCCTGATTGCACGTGCACATATGCGGCCTGCACTGGCATCGCTTCATCTCATCAGAGAAAAAAAAAGTCCATTATATCGCTAGCCATTTCTTAAATCTTCAAGATGGGTGCCCAGTTTAGGACCCTAGAACGTGAACAGAGGTTTAAGAACCCTCCCAAAGACAAATCGTCTTTTCCCCTCCTAGCCGAGGCCGTCGCCCCACACATTGGCTCCTTCAATGCCCTTACAGAGGGCCCTGATGGAGGACTTCTCAATATGGGTGTGAAGGATATCGGCACCAAGACGATTTTCGACTCTTCCGATGAGCTCAGGCTCGGAAACAAGCTTCAAATTAAAGTCGAGTCGGTTCAGTTGGCCAAACCTGCCGTGCCCCCTACCGACAAGCTCTCGGTCAACCGTAAGACTCTTCCTTCTGAGTGCAGAGAGAGAATGACAACTTACAGAGGAAAGTTGATGTTGAAGGTGACATGGTCCGTCAACGACGGACCTGAGGTTTCTGAAATCCGTGATGCAGGTCAAGTTCCTATCATGATCAGCTCCAACAGGTGTCACTTGGAGAAGATGTCACCAAACGAGTTGGTTGCCGCCAAAGAAGAGAGTGACGAGTTGGGTGGATACTTCATTGTCAACGGTATTGAAAAGTTGATTCGTATGTTGATTGTGCAGAGGAGAAACCACCCTATGGCCCTCATCCGTCCCTCTTTCGGAAACAGAGGTAATTCGTACACCAAGTTTGGTTGCCAGATCAGATGTGTTCGTCCTGACCAAACCTCCCAGACCAACGTTTTGCATTACTTAAAGGACGGTAACGTCACTTTCCGTTTCTCTTGGCGCAAGAACGAGTACTTGGTGCCTGTCGTGATGATCCTCAAGGCCTTGTTGGAGACCAATGACAGAGAAATCTTCGATGGTATCGTTGCTTCCGACATTACCAACTCTTTCTTGACCGATCGTCTTGAATTGTTGCTTAGATCCTACAAGTCATACAACCTTCATTCGCAAAAGGAAACTTTGGCCTTCTTGGGTGACAAGTTCCGTGTGGTCTTCGAGGCACCAGCTGACATGTCGGATATCGATGTTGGTAAGGAGCTTCTTAAAAAGATTGTGCTCGTGCATTTGCCAAACAACGCCGATAAGTTCCGCATGCTTCTTTTCATGATCCGTAAGTTGTACACTTTGGTGGCTGGTGACTGTTCTCCAGACAATCCCGATGCTACTCAGCACCAGGAGGTTTTGTTGGGAGGTTTCCTCTACGGTATGATCATCAAGGAGAAGATCGAAGAGTACTTGCAAAGCATTAAGGTTCAGATTTCCTCTGACATCAACAGGGGAACCAGAGTTAACTTCAGCGACAGAAAGTACATGTCTCGTGTGTTCATGAGAATCAACGAGAACATAGGTCAGAAGTTGCAGTACTTCCTTTCCACTGGTAACCTTGTATCTCAATCTGGTTTAGATTTGCAGCAAGTCTCTGGTTACACAGTTGTCGCTGAGAAGATTAATTTCCACAGATTCATTTCCCATTTCAGAATGGTGCATAGAGGTTCTTTCTTCGCCGAATTGAAGACCACCACCGTCAGAAAGTTGTTACCAGAATCTTGGGGTTTCTTGTGTCCTGTCCATACCCCCGATGGTTCTCCATGTGGTTTGTTGAACCATTTAGCTCACAAGTGTAAGATCTCGACTGAGGAATCAGATGTTTCTCAAGTTCCAGCAGCATTGGCCAAATTGGGTGTTTCTCCAGCACACACTTTTGCAGCTGGTCCCAAGTTGTGCTGCGTCCAATTGGATGGTAAGATCGTCGGATGGACTAGTCATGAACAAGGTAAACTTGTTGCTGATGCATTGAGGTACTGGAAGATCGAGGGCGGCCATGGCTTGCCTCTTGATTTGGAAGTTGGTTATGTTCCTCCTTCTTCCAAGGGTCAGTACCCAGGTTTGTACCTCTTTGGTGGTCGCTCGAGAATGATGAGACCAACCAAGTACTTGCCTCTCGAGAAGAACGATATCCTTGGTCCATTCGAGCAAGTTTACATGAACATTGCTGTGACTCCCCCAGAGATTGAGCCTAAGGTTCACACCCATGTCGAGTGGGCTCCAACTAACATTTTGTCCATTTTGGCCAACTTGACACCATTCTCCGACTTCAACCAGTCCCCAAGAAATATGTACCAGTGTCAGATGGGTAAGCAAACCATGGGTACTCCAGGTACCGCTTTGGTGCATAGATCAGACAACAAGCTTTACAGACTTCAAACAGGTCAGACCCCAATCGTCAAGGCTAACTTGTACGATGAGTACGGTATGGACAACTTCCCTAACGGTATGAACGCTGTTGTTGCTGTCATCTCATACACTGGTTATGATATGGACGATGCCATGATCATCAATAAGTCGGCTGATGAGAGAGGTTTCGGTTACGGTACAGTTTACAAGGTCGAGAAGGTTGATCTCTCCATGACCCGTAAGAGAGGTGACCCAATCATTCAGCACTTGGGTTTCGGCGAAGATGATTACCCAGAAGCTTGGAGAGAGAAGTTGGACGATGATGGATTGCCAATCATCGGCGTCCATGTCGAAGAAGGTGACCCAATTTGTGCATACTACGACGATACCATCGGTAAGACGAAGGTCAAGACGTACCACTCCAGTGAACCAGCCTACATTGAAGAAGTCAAGCTTCTCGCAGACGAAACCGGTGACTCCGAGTGCCAGCTGCTTACAATCAAGTACAGAGTTACCAGAGCACCATTGATCGGAGACAAGTTCTCTTCGAGACACGGACAGAAGGGTGTTTGTTCAAGAAAGTGGCCCCAGGTGGATATGCCATTTTCTGAAACTGGTATTCAGCCCGATGTCATCATTAACCCGCACGCTTTCCCATCTCGTATGACCATTGGTATGTTTGTCGAGTCGCTTGCTGGTAAGGCAGGTGCTATGCATGGTATCTCTCAGGACTCCACTCCTTGGACTTTCAGTGAAGACGATACCCCAGCCGATTTTTTCGGTGAACAGTTAAGAAAGGCCGGATACAACTATCACGGTAACGAGCCAATGTACTCTGGTGTTACTGGTGAGGAACTTCGTTGCGACATCTACATTGGTGTTGTCTACTATCAAAGATTGAGACATATGGTTAACGATAAGTTCCAGGTCAGATCCACTGGTCCTGTCAACTCCTTGACCATGCAGCCTGTGAAGGGTCGTAAGAGAAATGGTGGTATTCGTGTTGGTGAGATGGAGAGAGATGCCTTGATTGGTCACGGTACTTCATTCTTGCTTCAAGACAGATTACTCAATTGTTCCGATTACACGCAAACACCAATTTGTCGCTCATGTGGTCTGATGCTCAATACGCAGATGTCTGTTCCTCGTATTGGAACCTTTGCCACGATAAGGTGTCGTGGATGTGCGGAGAAGTTTGACTCTTATGCTAAGAAGGGTCTCCAAGTCAGTGATGCTGATATCTGGGAAGATGGTCTGGGTACCAAGTTCGTTGGAGGTGACAACACTACGACTGTTGCTATTCCTTTCGTCTTGAAGTACTTGGACTCGGAGTTGGCTGCCATGGGTATTAAGATGAGGTACAACGTTACGCCTCAATAAATTGCATAGTTTTCACATAGTGAGAAAAAATAGAATAATGATACAGAATAGTCTGGTTTCAATCCTCTCATCTACAATTGTTTTCAATAACATGAGTCGTACCATGAAGGCCGATGGATACTTGGATTGTACGCTATACTAAATAGAAGATTTCTTCCGAGAACCCACCTAGCAACTGCTTGATGAGCTCTACCATCTTGTCGAGCTCTTTGGTTATAGTAGAAGTCACCAATAGGTAAGAGTATAACAAAACGTAATCCTCATTAGTGAGTTTCACGCTTTCACTGACAGATTTTGACCTGACTTCACTAAGCTTCAATAGCATACGATTCCGAGCATGCTCAGTAGAAGCAGGTTTCGAAGGAAGTGGAAATCCAAGAGCCAAGGCACTCGCAATCATGTAAAATATCAAAAAGATACGATGCTCGAGTTCCTCTCGCTCGTTTTCGATAAATTTTAGAACGTACTCCTCATTGGGAGTCAACCAGGGGTCCACTTCGAACATCAACTTGATGTTTTGAAATGCATCCAAAATGTTTGAAGTACTTTTGAGAAGATCCTCATATATCCCCTTGGGAAGTGCACCTTTCAAGCGCAATTCAAGAGGGGCTTGCTTTAGCAATGTCTGACACTCCGTGAAAAGACTACTGGTTCCTTTGTAGTCCTTGAGTCCCACTAGTCTAGCAGGCTCATTAGGGGCACTTTTATACTCCAAAGGATCGCTATTCCAGATAACGCCCATGCGGAGCCACAACACAGTGAGACCAGATTTGAGCCGCTTTCGTGCACTATTTGGAAGAAAGCATGTTGCCACAAACAATGCCCAAGCGATACCTATTGACACGGATATGAATCGGTGGGATGCAATCTCGCCAACTATAGGCTCAACGCCTCCTTCATTATCGTCTTCTGAGTCATTTTGGGTCATGCTGTATGAATAAAGTGCAGTCAAATTGTAAGTCAAAAGGATAAAGCGTCCAAATGGGTTGTTTTTCTTCCAATAGATGATGATGTAGAAGCATGGGAGAGAGAGCAAAAAGCCGGTTGTAGCTAATGCATACTCATTGCCTTCTGTTAATGCCCAAACCACCCATGCGATGAAGGCTCCAAGGAAGGTGCCCACAAAACGCCATTTTGCTGTCATAGTTGTTCCACCAAGTGACTTGCTCATCATAATGCAATAAATAACCATGGTCCATTCGAGTCTCCATGTTACGAAAATATCCTTTGTTTGTGGGAGAAATGCAAATATACCAATGCAAAATGCTCCCACGCCGACCCGTAGACCAAACTGAATATCAATTCTTCTGAAGAAGTAAAGTGATTCCCAGAGACGAACTCTGAAATCGTCAAACTTCGTCTTTCCTGAGATAAGGCCTGTATTTTCTGTAGCCTGTCTGTTGGTAACTGTACTAAACTGAGCTTTAAATTCACGAAGTGCTTCCACGAAATCAGTCTCGTAAGTTGTCTGCTTATCTTTTTCATCTTCTTGTTTCGTTTTCCAAACCTTCAAGAAAGACCAACTGCGTGGGGATGATTTAGCAACGACTTCGAAATGCTCCGTCAATTGCAAAAACCGAATGAGCTCCTCACCGTAAAGAGCCAATAAAGAGGCAAAGTTACCACAACACGCAGTAACTTCTTCTTGGTCTGTTTTGAACATTAAGTTATCTGGCTTGAATATCTCCTGAGAGTAAATTTTGCGGAATGAATGTGCTTGCTTGCTTTGGAATAGTTCAAGTGCTTTCACAAGTGATTTTTGGTAATTGGAGGATTTGACGAAAACATCTTGATCCTTGTCTCTGACGTATTTGTGCTCAAAGGGCACAGCGCCTAAAACCTCCTTGACGGTGAACACGAACAGCTTGATCGATGGAGCCAAGTAGTATACGAATAAATCAAAAAGTTGATTGGGGTACATTGCGGTTTGGTCCGCCTCATGACCCAACAGATCTGTATTCGAAAAAGCGCTCAAGTTTTCAACCGATTGGGAGAGGTGTATATCCGAGGAATGGAAACTGTCAAGACTCCTGCTGGAGGCTCCATCGGGGGACCTACCTTTCCCACGATCGTCATGAAGGAGCAGCCACTGCATCTCCAAAGAAGACCTCAAGGCCTGCAAGTGTCTCAGAAGAGATATCGTAGCCTCAACAATTTCCGTATAACTTGAAAGCTCAGCTTCCTTGCCCACTAATCGAAGTTCATACCCAGCTTCCTCCAAACTACCTCTGAGGTCATTGCAAACTTTCATAAGTAGAGCAAAGATTTCAGAGTCCTTCTTAGTGAGGGTTTCTCCATTGAGGAAGCGATGCGTCGTGATGGATACCAACAGCGACATGATGTTAAAACAGTCATTGAGGGACTTTCTTAGCAGTGACACAGCACTTTTCGGCCATAAAAGGTAACATGTTGCAACCGATACACAAGAGCCGACGAAGACAACCTGCGAGGTCGAAAGTAATCTTTTCATGGGAATGACGGACGAGTTCAAGGAACCTTCCTTGACTATGCAAGTGATGAGTGAAATAGATGCCAATGAGCATGCAGTGTTAAACGTCTGTTTGTTGACCTTCTGCTTCATGAAAGCGATAAAGCCAAGGCCAATAGAACTGATGACAAGATCAATACCAAAACTGATTTCGTCCTCGCCATTGTTGAAGAAGAATGTGGATATGGAGCGGCAGAATAACGAGACAAGAAAACTAAACAGCAATGATATGATCACGAACATGATCAGCTGGTGCATGGACCCTTTCGTTCTCGCCGGATGAAAGTATACCGCAGTTGTCGCTACAACATGCTTTGAGTCTGTAACTCCCAAGAAATTGTCAAATGGAGTCCAGTAGACACCCATGGATGCAACAAGGTAAGCTATCGAGCATTTGAGGATATTTCTGAACATCTCACTTCTGTAGAGACGAGCCATTCTCGATCGGAGTCTCCGAACCCTTCTGCGCCAATGACGGCGTCCAGAGCGAGGACCAGTAACACCCGAAGCCATACTCTCCGAATACTCCGAGTCGTGGAAGGAATCATCGTTGAAGCTCTCGAACTCTGTGTTGAAGAACAGGTTCAGTCTGTACACCTTTTGCCCACTTTCAGGAAGAATCACTGAGGAAGATTTCATGAGAGTTCTATTGAGACCCTTAGTTGTGCCTTGAAAGTATGATTTGAAGTCAATTTCTGGCTCATTTGGTGTTCTGGGTACCAGCCTTGGGGCTGATGTTCTGCCTTGTAGAGGAGAATGTGGGGACTGTAGAGGGTACAGGGATTTCCCTGTAGGAGGCCATTGGCCTTTATCAAAAGAAGGCGGGACCTTCTTTGTCTTTTTATCTGTGACTGAAATTTTGTGTTGGAAAAAGCGTGTTATCGGAGACGGCTATATCGTGTGCGATGTATAAAGCATGTTGTACCTGCTTGTGTGCGACCACTATTGTTCTTAGTTAAGCATCGAACGATTCCAAAACAAGATTCTTTATTTTTTGAAGTCAACTTCGAGAAAATAAGTTTGGAATATCATGAGACGGTGTTGAAAATTACTTTTCCTTATTGTAAAAATTGCAAGCCTGATGACCCATTTAGACGAGGCCGTTATACGTCTCCGGATGATCACCATAGAGAGCAATTATTTGAGGCGGTTTTACATATATGACTCTCTACCGTAATAAAGTTTGACGAAAGCACAACTGAGAGCCTGGTTATGAACCAACGAAGGAATTAGTGATTTGCAACCAATTTGATATGGAGCCGCTGAACACACACCCAGTCTCAACTGCATTCCATCGTACTGGTTAGGACGGGATGCGCAGTATTTCAATGAACCATTTATTTGAAGCATGCATTTTGCTACAACTTTCATCAATCATTATTAATAAATCAATTAACTTTCTAAAACCAAATCATCCATCATGAACCAGGCCGAAGCCAGGCCAAACGTAATAAAACCTCTATATACAGCATTAACGTCGTAGTCGTAATAATTAGTAGCCGACAATGTCCTTGAACAATTGTTCGCATGGGACAGTGGCTTTCAACTTAGCACATAATAAAAAGACACCACTCATCTTTCTGTGCAAGGAGTATGTTTCCTCAGGAGGAGGGGTCAATCTCTCGTTCAACATTAATCCAATGTTGTCTCTAACTCTATCCGTGATGGTTTGGTTGGAGAAATCAAAAGGTTTTCTGTTTGGCTGAGGGCAGAATGCTTCGCCCAACACCATGACTGAGTCCACGTGGGCTCTCACCATACCAGGAGATTCCAAACCGGTCAAGAAGCCAGCCTTGAGGGAGAACTTCTCCACAGCCTCACGGTCCTTACGGACAGAGGCACGCAAGATCTCAACGTAGTTCTCCACGAAGCTGTCCTCGAACTCACGAGCAGCACCGAAATCCAACAACTCAATCTTGTGGGTCTTGTCGTTGTACAAGAAGTTTGCCCAGTTGGGGTCGGTCTGCATGAAGCGGAAGTTCTTCAATTCGGTAAGACAAAGTCTCATGATATTGGTAGCGATCCAGTCACGGGTATTCTGGTCCCAGTTTCCCTTGGCAATTTCGGTACCGCCCATCTTCTCCATAGTAAGGACATGCTCGCCGGACATCTTGTGAAGCACTCTTGGAACTTCGAAGACAGGGTCGTTCTCGAGCAATTCACGGAAACGAACCAAGTTTTGAGCCTCACGGATGTAGTCACATTCCCACTTGAGCTCAACACGAGCGTTGGCGATGGTCTTGTCCAAGAACAAACCACGGGGCAAGATTGAGGAGGCGGTGAGGAGCATAAGCAAGTTGTTCAAGTCCGAATCGATGGAGTCAACCACACCTGGGTACTGGACCTTGACAACGACAGGAGTCAAGTCTTCAGTCACAGCGTTGTGCACTTGGCCAATCGATGCGGCTGCAAAAGGAACGTCGTCAAAAGAAGAAAACAAGTTCTTGCGCCAGTCTCTGCCCAACTCAGTGGTCATGATACGCTCCAACTGGGCCAAGGGCATGTAATGAGCAGAGTTCTGCACTCTCAAAAGGATTTGTTGGATTTCAGCAGGCAAGATGGAAGCGTCCTGGAAAGACATCATTTGTCCAATCTTCAACGCAGCACCTCTCATCTTGGAGAACTTGCGGGCCATTCTTTCAATGTTAGCTGGACTCAAGAAGAGCTGCTTCATGCTGAGTGTGGAGCCGTTACCCTGGGCAACCTGTCTCAAACCATGAGAAGCAGCAGAGAAGCCCATACCAGCAGCCAACGAGCCGTAGTGGAACATTCTGGCCAATCTGGTACTGGGCACCTCCAGCTGAGACATGTCAAAGGAAGGCTTGACCTTGGCGCCGCCAATGACCTTCTTGACCTTGGGACGCACGGCAGACTTCTCCTCCTGCTCCTCGACGAAAAGCTTCACCGACTTGGTGGAGTAGTTTGCATTGGTATTCTTTCTGTGAGAGCGTGGCTCGTGCAAAGTAGCACAGGTGGAAAAGCTTCTATGCTGGGTTCTGGCCGCCTGGGCCTTGCCTCGAAGATCTGCCCACATGTGGGAGCTTGAGTCGAGCTTCTTTGCCTGGGCCACGAGGAACAGCTTGGACCAGCACCTGGAGGCATCGGTGGTAGCGATTTTCACGCTGTCACGAGCGATTTTGGACGCTGTGCCCGAGATGGCAACCGCGTCGAAAACGGCTTTTCTCGACATGACAAAAGAATGTGGTGGGTGTTTTTTTTGTGGGTGGGTTGGTGGTTTGCGGTGAAGAAGAATATATTATAAGCGTTTCGCAACGGCTGCAAGAAACAAGAGCGGTGCTTGCTAAATTTTTTCTGCCACGGTTCGCGTTTTGAGCCTGTGATCTGGGGCCGTGGAGACAACACAATGAAATGACCGGACAGATATTATTGTATAAAATATGCTTGGACTTTACGGTCCCCATTTATCTACGTCATGGTGGTTTCTATTATTTCCCCTTGTGACTATTTTTCGTAGACTCGTTTGTGGAGTCCTTCCGTCCGAGTAATCGGCTCGCAGCCAGCCCTAACTCGGGTGGCCGGGGCCATGCCCCGCCCTACGCAGGTCGGCAAAATTCCTTTTGCAAACGACTTCTTTAAACGGTCTCCAGGGGTACGTTTTTAGACTTTTCAAAAAAGAGTGATTTTGAGGGGGCTCACATTGGTCGGAATTTTGAATTTATTTTGAACATGTTGTCCTCTTTTGTCGAAAAGCTAAATGCTGGCTCTTTCTGTGTGCGTTTCCCCAGACGCACTGCCGATTATATGTCCAGCCGAGAAAAGCTGTTTCTTGCAGCCGCTAATTAAGCCATAGCCTGAGCTACGACATATAGCGGTCTTAAGCGGACAACAGAATTCCACGAGGATCGCCGCCAGAAGCTTCGATAAGCTTTTGGGTTTTCCCTTCTTTGCAACTCTTTCCTCTTTTATTATTTCCTTCAAAGCATTTACTTGCCACTCATCGCCTTTCTTGCTCTTGCTGTCCTGTCGCACCTCGGACCCCTGGTGGGCCCCGGGGCCGCATGGGCCTCCGCACTGTTTATTCACAATAGTCAATGCAGGCAGCCAAGGGCCATGACCGTCTGATCTCTGCAAGTTTGTATATCAAGTGAAATAGGGTTTTGGAGATAGTGGAGGTGGAACTGGAGAGGGGACTATGTCCGACGAGGCAGGGTGTCGAGTATGGCTTTCAAGCGAATCGCAATGAGGACCACGAGGCCGTGGGCCTGCTCGGGTATTCAATTCTGTGAAAGGCAGTACTGAGGTGTCAGAGTTGCAGAAGTTTGGAAAGAATACTCAATAGCTTCGTTTCGGAAAACTCCGATATCAGCAGCTAGTTACGGTGCCACTGTGTGTGTGTGTGTGTGTGTGTGTGTGTGCTCCAGAGAAAGTGTAGAATCATTTGGCTGCGAAAAACAGTGCTGCACCATCAGCATAAGCGAGCACCGTTGACTGCCCCAAAAGGGTCCACCAAAGCCACTATTGGAAAGAGTCAAGCAAGTTTTTCCGATTAAATCAAGATAATTGTACCGCTTTACTTTGAACATTCATTTCTGCAAATTGCATGTGTTCATCGGGCTAACGGTGGTGCCCCAATAACACCAGACACACTTCAATTTCGTATCTCAAGCAAGAAAAAAAGAAAAGACGAGCGTCAGGTTTTTTGATCTCAAAAACCCCATCAATTTACCCCATTTCACCAAAAAACCCAAAGAGATGTACAAACCGTTCTCTCCCATGCCGCTGCTTATCGCTGGTGTAGAGGTGCGCTGTGATGAGATGCTTCACACCAAAACCTCATCTCATCACCACCACTATGGGCGACAAAAAGAAGTACAAGAAACAAAAGCTCATGGATTCCGAGGCCGAACGTGTGGCCGAGGTGGCTGAAGAAAGCTTGAGGGAGCACCCTCACCCAGAGCAGCCCCAGAAAATGGAATTCCACGATGGAGGCGAATTCAAAGGTGTAGAGAGACACAACACCACCGCCCATCTGGCTGGGAAGCTCGAGGATGGACCCCAAAACCCATTTACGGGGGAGAATTTCACACAGAAATACTTTGACATTCTCAAAGTCAGAAGAGACTTACCCGTGCATGCCCAAAGAGATGAGTTCTTGAAGACTTTTCAGAGCACCCAAATCATGGTCTTTGTGGGTGAGACCGGTTCGGGTAAAACCACGCAGATCCCCCAATTTGTTCTTTACGATGATATGCCCCACCTCCATGGCAAAATGGTCGCATGTACGCAACCCAGAAGAGTGGCAGCCATGTCTGTGGCTAAGAGAGTTGCAGATGAGATGGATGTGCAGCTTGGAGATGAGGTCGGTTACCTGATCAGATTCGAGAACAAGACATCTCCAAAGACCATGCTTAAATATATGACTGATGGTATGCTTTTGCGTGAAGCCATGGAAGACCACGACTTGCTGAGATACTCGTGCATTATGCTAGATGAGGCTCACGAGCGTACGTTGGCCACCGATATCTTGATGGGTCTCTTGAAACAGGTCACCACCCGTAGACCTGATCTTAAGCTTATCATCATGTCTGCTACTTTGGATGCTGAAAAGTTCCAGCAATACTTCCACAACGCCCCTCTTCTTGCCGTCCCTGGTCGTACCCATCCTGTGGAGATCTACT